CTCATCTGAGAAATTCTGACCCGACTCCGGAAATGAAATTGGGATATGCTACTGCTCTATGAGCCTATTCTCGCAACCAAAGTTGAATTGATTCCAGAAGGATAAATCTATTCAGATTATTTTATTGGAATGAGGGAGAGTTCTGAAGAAAATGTATACTCAATTGGTTAAGGATTAATAAAGCATCGATACTTCTGTAAAAGCTACTAAAAGATATGAAAGAACTGATGGAAATTTCATTTGTGCAATTATGTGACATGAATGAATTTCGAGGATGAAATTCTTTTAAGGAGGGGAGAATTGTAACACCCCAATTTAGGGGGTAAATTTTAGAAATTATAAAGTATTGGATTTAAATGGTATTTTGGAAGAAATTGAGGATTAAATTGTAAAATCGTAAAGTTGGCAGATCATTTAATGAAGTGTAGGAAGTTCAGTGACTAAACTCATGGTTTACCCATTTTTTATGGGATGAATTACAACCCCTCCCCCGTGTGTTTTCTGCAGATTTTCCCAGTTTTCCCTACCCTTTGACCCTCCATTGAGCTCGACCTACTCACCGTCCGACCTCCGTTTGACGAACCGAAACCACCATCGTGTTCGTTGTTGAAAGATGATCAAAACCCCTTAAACCTTTCATCGCGAATCGTCGTCATTCGTCGTTAATTTCAGTCAGAAGTATCATCGGTTTTAAATCAATTTTTGTTGGTTTTCCGTCGATTCACATCAATCCGGCCATCTGCTTTCGACACCTCCCGCACCATCATGTTCCTTGCATCATTCCGAGTCCACTGGTGTCCTACGTGTTTCCTTCGTCGCCGATGCGTGGACGGGTGCTCTGTTCACGCACCCCCACGTGACTCCCCTACGAGTGGGGGAGCTTCGGTAACTATTGGGGCAGCTTGACCCAGTTTTGACCCGACCCATTTGACCTGACCCGACCCGTTGAGCTGACCCGTTGACTGTTGGTCATTGACTTTGACCGAAAAAGTTAAAATTTTTGAAAAGCTATCTTTTATGTTTTTTGATGTCCTGAGTCCGATTCCGAAGTCCATTTTTCAAAATTCGAACCCGAAAGCCTCGAAATTGTCAGTCAAACCCGTTGACTTTGACCAAAAAGTCAAAATTTTTGAAAAGTCATTTTTTGTTTTTCTACGTCCTGAATTCAAATTCGAAGTTCGTTTCGTCAAATTCGAACTCGATAAGTTGTTTTTGACTGATTAATCACCCGATTCGATCAGTTTTTTCGCAATTAAGCTCTATTTTAATGAAAATTCAGTTGATATGCATCAAAGGAATTATTGCAAGCTGATTTCAAAATCGAGGGTGTTCGAATGGAATTTATATGGTCGATCAGTATGGCACGAAAATCGAGATAATACATTACTACCTTTTCATGCTTTATGGAACATGTTGGTATTGATAAATGCATGAATGAAAATGTTTGGTCTCATTTGGGTATTTAATTAATTCATGTACTCGATATGAATGTGGTAAAAATTCGGTAACTGAATACTGTTCGGATGATTATTATAAGAAATTGATGGATTGTTATAATTAAATTACGAGTTCTGTGATTAGTGATAAAGGAATTAGCATGGATATGTAACACATAATTTATTTCATCAAATGTTATATGTTAAAGGTACTTGGATGAGAAATAATGAGAATACTCCGGTAGGGTAAAATTATGAAAATACCCCTATGTTGTAAAATGGCAAGAATTTTCCCTGGAAGTTGATTAATAACTCTGAAAGGACTTATTGATTTGATAAAACTACAGATGTGCATAAGAAATGTTAGTTTGCTTAGAAAATTTGGATAATCATTTTTTAACCCCAAGAGGGTTTATGCAAGATACTAGAAGTCTGTGAAAGAATCATTTCAAGATTAGATAATGTTCTGGAAAGAAATTAACTATAGGATCTCAACATTATAGTTATTTTCGTTAAGAGTTAATACCGAAACTATTTGGTTAAGAAATTACAAAAATGCCATTGAAAGGTAAAAATAGTCCGAGTTGACCCTGAATAAGAAAGTACTTTGAGGATTCATACTTAACTCGATAAATTATAGATTTAATTGTTAAGCTCATGTCTTTGTACAGAAAAATTCCTGATAACCTTTTGATAACTTCTGAGAAGACAATTGACCTGAAAATCTCCGAGTTAAGAATAAATTATCGAGGGTGCTCTTCTGTCAGAATTGTTCGAAAGGTTTGAAAAAGATGATACGTTTGAATTAAATAATAAGATTATATGGAAGGAAATGATTCAAATACACCATGTCTGTAAAATGACCAAAATACCCTTATAATGGAAATGACCCAAGAATATCAACAAGCTCAGGAATGATTGGATATCCTCGAGCTCTGTAAAGAATGAAATAAAACTGAACACCAAAATGACCAAAATACCCTTATGGCCTATACTAAGTAAATGTCTTGGATTAATTAAGGAATCCAAATAAGCATAGGTATTGGGACTACCTTTAAAAGTTATGGAACACATCTTAAGTGAGTCGATCAACCCTAATGATATGTCAGTATCTGAACGGCATATATATCAATTGAATGCGCGTTCATCTTCTCAAGTTTGGCTTGATGATAATTTTGGAAGTACTCGGCCCAACTCAACTCTAGATCGCATTCGTTACTAAGAAGTGAATATTTGTTCGATAAATCAACCACGAAGATCGAACTAAATTGGATTGAACGGAAGTACAATATGTATATGAAATTAAGAAAACGTCCGAATTACTCTGGAAAACTCTGATGTAACCAGGATAGACTTGACTATCAATGAAATAAGTAACCTCAATGATTGAGGATTAAATAAGTGATTTGGATGAGTCTGGAAACGTTAATGATCATACATGATAAAATGTTTTTATTGATCATGAACTACAAATCAAACACATCAGTATTTCATGATATCGTGGAAGCGTGAAAATTAAATAAAGACCATTGGAAGATATTTTCTGTGATGATTCTGAAGATGATCTGTGGACAAGAATTTATAGAATTAAAGAATAAATACCCCGGAAGGACAATGCATTGACCTGTCGACAAGCATTTGTTCTTGGAGCTATTCATCTCGAGTTGTTCTTTTATTCGATCAATCGACATAGTTGTAAAGGTCATGAATCTTTGTTTTTCCTTATAATCCCAAATTACTCTAGTCATATCTGAAAACACAAGTAACTCAGATGTAAAGGATTCTGAATACCCTTCTGATTATGTACAACTTCCTAAAAATGTCCGAATAAGATATAATCGTGATAATTCATATTCTGAATAACTGATGATTCTGTCAGTTAATAAACACTTCCAATAGTGATTCTAACTTTTGACATTCTATCGGTAAACTGAAGATCCGTGTTTCTCTGCCGATAAGATTATTCAATATCTCTGAATAACATCTGAAAACTCTGGTGTGTTCCCTAATCACATGAATGTTTTATCTTATTTCCGATTTGAATTCTGTTATGATACTTGATATGAATTCTGTTATGATTTTTGACATGGATTCTATTATGATATCTGATATGAATTCTGTTTTGATTTCTGATATCTCCGTTTACTGGCGGAAATATGTTTTATTTTGGGGGTTATTTTTGGAGGAAGTATATCTGCATGTTCCTCGGCTTTGTGCTCAGGGCCTTACTGGCTGTGCGGTTGGGTGTATGGTTCTGGGGAACCTACACATTATGATGTGTAGCGGTTGGAGGGATTATTAGGATTTTTTAAAAAATATATGTTTTAAAAAGATTTGTATCTTTTTACTGTTTTACGGGAACACACTAGATAACCTATTCTGATCTTCTGAACTTAGTCATTCAAAATACTTATCTGAATTGAAAGCTCATTGTCCGTTACCCCTTAAATATCAGTAGGATCTCCGCTCAGCATAAAATCTGTAGATGTTCGGAACCAAAAGGAAATATATGTTTATTTGTATCTGTACGTTATTCAGCATCATCTGGTAGTTTTGTATTACTGAGCTTTCTGAAGCTCACTCTGTTACTCACCTTTTTAGGTTAAAAGAATCGTACCAGTGCATCTATCGACATCAGTAAAAGAGTTCTTCCGGCGTTGCTTGCAGAGTATGGTACATGTGATTAGGGGGCATGTAATTGTATTTTTTTTATATACGAGTCTGAAAATCTGTTTTATCTCTGCATACTGATAAATCATTTTATAAGTTATATGTTTTAATAAAAATTTTAAATTTTCTGCTATTTTTATAGTGGGTCGCTCCGGTGGCCCTAATGTGACACTTCAGATCGGATCGGGTTACCCGTATCGGTCTAAGGGGGTTACAAGTTTTGATCTGTTTAGTGCCTAAAGTTTCAATTTTTTTTAAACTTAACGTTAAGATTTTAATAAGGGTACTAAAATGAAATAAAAACTAAGCGTATGATTTTAAAAAAATTTAAAGTTTATTTACTAAAACAAACAAAAAATGATAGTTTTGGTATTAAGCATGTAGTTTATCCTTAAACTTTTTGTTTAAAATCTTTTGCCAAACTTAATTTTTTCTATCCAAAGTCTCATAAAATCAAAAGAAAAAAAAAACTTCGAACTTTGACGGATTTCCTTACCCTAAAACAAGTGAAGTTCTCACTGTGCAACCACCATATTTTGGACATTTCCGTTTCGTGTGTAAACTTTCTTTCATTTTAAAATCTATATTTTTAACTTGTATATTACAATGGAATAATTAATATTGTATATTCCTATTAACCCTATGTTACATGACATAATTTTTTGACAAATGACATAATATTAAAATAAACTAATATGAGATTTGACAGCTCTGATTAAATGGATTAAAAACATTTGCTTGTGCAAAAACGTCAAAATGGACATGTTTAGTTGAAGAGAATGCTTAGTTCGTTTCTTTTGTACTCTCGCTTGCTATGTAATGATTGAATAAGTACTTGGATATCTACAAATTTCTTGAGGAAACTGCAGACTATAAGAACGTTCAATAGAGTAAAATGCTAACAGCTGTATATCTCAATGGATTTTGCTATTGTTAAATTCTAGTGTGGAGTTCCAAAGCATATACTTGCTCTTACTTGTAGATGTTGCAATCCACCGGACCTTTCTTCTTTATTGTATAAAGCAACTGATTTATAGAACCCGATCTCGAAGTGGGAGAAACAGATGCACCCAGTTTGCTTAATATAGCTTGTAATGTCGAAGGCGAGGTTTCTCGAACCCGTTGTGTGTGATTAATCGCGAGTTGAATCTCTTTAGCATCAGCTAACCATTTCAGCAAAACAACATGGGCATCTGAATGTGCTATATCAGAATTTAGAACACACAGCAACTTGGAAGCAACAAGAAACTGACCTGCAAGAACCATTCCATATTTATGTGAACTTTGATTCAGAAACTTACAAAGGAAAACAAGCCAAATCCAAGAAACAGGTGTATTCTAAATGAACATAACCTGTTCTGCAGAGATGCATGACAAAAGTGCTCAATATTGTTTGTCCAAGCCTCACATCCTGCTCAACAGATTTATTGAAGATTTCAAAAGCAGATTTAAAATCTGATTCTTGACAAAGTCCTTCAAGAAGGGTCATATAAGTCGTAGCATCCGGCATTATGCCTTTCTCTTCCATAAGACGAAAAAGATGCACAGCCTCTTTAACTTCCCCTACCAGTGAGAGCTTTCCGATGAGGATATTGTAAGTACTCAAATTTCCCGGGCACCCATTTGCAAACATTTCATCCCATAGCCTTTTAGCAGGACGCACTAAATCTTCTCTACAACATGCTTCCATAAGATGGTTGTAAAATAAGACATTTGGGGCTAACCCTTTTATCTTCATCTCCTGAAGAACCTTATAAGCCTCTCTTAACCTCCCAGCCCTGCACAATAATGAAACCACCACATTATAACTCTCCAAATCCAAGAAATAACCATGAGAAGACAAAACCTGGTAAACTTCCCACAATTCATCACCCTTGCTATGCTTGCATAAATTCTTACTCAAATTACTCAAGGTTGACAAAGTGGGCAGTCTCCCTTTCTCAACCATATGATTCAAGAACATGATTGATGAACCAGGATCGATCCTCGAAACTGATCCTATCAATCCATTCAAAACATCATCTTCAATAGGAAAATTCCCACTCACAATAGCTTCACCTAAATCCCTTGCTTCACTTATCCTTTTCTCCATGATCAGCCCTAAGATAAACTCCCTATAATCATTACTCCTTGGAGCCACCCCTAGCTTTCTCTTTTTCTTCAAAACCAGCTCCCTCTCAGCCACATTGTTAATCGTTGTGAACGCCTCAGCTACAATCCTATAAGCTATAAAATCCGGTTTGCAATCTCTAGTCCTCAACTCATCCAATACCCAAAAAGCCTCTGATTCTCTTGATGAGAAACAAAGTCCATGAACTACCAAAACTGCGATAATTGATCCATTAACATTCCACGCATTCTTCTCTTTAACTTCATCTATTAAACTCAAAACTTTACTCAAATCACCTTTTCTACACAAACTCCAAATAAAAAAACCAAACCCAAGTGTATTAAAAACAATACCTTTACGAGACATTTCATCAAACACTTTCAGGGAATCAGCAAAGTACCCATCCGAAACTAAAGCAGCCAAAAGTGAGTTACATAACTCGGATCCAAGTTCTGCACTCAACGAGTTGACTTCATTAAACAACCGGAATGCGTTCTGGGTTTTCTTTCCTTTGATCAAAGAACTAATTGTAGAGCGATAAACCGAGGAATCAAGAGAGAGTTTCTGAGCTTTGACTTGTTTTAAAATGGATTCGATGCCATTGAATTGGCGGGAACACAAGAGAGACTTGAGAATTGAGTGATAGGAGATTGAATCGTGGGAAAATCCAGGTTTCTGAGAAGCCCAGTTGAAGAAGCCGAGTGCAAGAGAATGATGAGTGGAGGGGAAGGAGTCGATGACTCGGGAAACAAGTGAGGGACTCAGTGAGTCACGACAACCAATTCGTTGAAGGGTCTGTTCGATAGACGGAGTCCAAGTCGGGTGATTGGATGCGGAGATCAATGCTCGGCTTATTCTAGTTGCTAAATCTGTCACTGCTCTCATGACTGAGTCAGTAAAGAGTTACAAAGACTGCTAGAGACATATAGAAGAAACAGATAGATTAGTATTTTTTTATATAAATAGTCATCAAAGTCTGAGCACATTTCTCTTTTCAGCACTGAAATCTCGAACAATTACTAAGGTTATCGTTTTATAATAAATCGTCACTCAATTGTTAATAGTCGTTACCCTAGTCATATAGGGCTGAATCAGAAAAACAATCAATTTCTGCCGAGCTTCCTCAAACTACCCTTCAAATGTTGACTCATCAGATTCCCCGTCCCTTGACAGGGAATAACAGAAAGAAATCATTGATATGTAATATTTCTGAAGGCTCTGACTCCAAGGAAATGAAATTAGATAGTGCGAAATTAGATCGGTTGACGATGCTGAGCATATGCCACTAAATTCAACCGATGTTGTAGACATACGTGAAAGTAATTAAAGATGAACCAACGGAATAGATTTCAGAAAATAGTTCTCTATTTAAATCCGAGGAACCAAGTGACATGCTAGATGTTGTTGCTGCTGCTGGTTGCCCTGAAGAGTCTGATGCTTCTGAGTTCGCATTCTATCTCAGTTGAGAAGACTAACAGTGTTCATGAATTTCCATCTTCATATGAGGCTGAAGGGACAGTTTCTGAATCAGTTTTTTTTTTTTATTATTGAAAATGACTCAAATACTGAAAGAGTTGAAGTGACTGAGAAGACTAATGGTAGTGAAACTGATGTTAAAGAAGAACTGCACTTGAATTCTGCAATTATAATGCCCGCCTCAGTTGATTCTACGAATGAAGGTGAGGATGCAATTGAAAATGATGGAACTGCATTACAAGGTGCTGCAAAGCAAGCTCAGGCACTTCACATTTTCCATTATTACCTTTGCAGTTTTATTCAAGTTAGTATCCATTAAAGGCTCTGTTAAATGTCGGTTGTGCTCAAAGTAAGAGCACACATCCCATTGGGAAGGAAAATGCGGAAAGATATTTAAAGGGGTATTCTTTCACTTCTTTAGTGAATGTGAGGAATGCATGCACATTGTTGCCGTCTGTCTAGCTTCGTTTGGGTCCGAAATTAAAATTGGTGTGTTTATTTGCTGGAATTAATCCAGATTTAATCTGCTGTCATATGATACCCATATTGTTGAACGAATTTGGACAGGTTTAAGACCAGATTTAGTCAACTACGATAGATTAATTACATCAGTTTATTAGCTATTGTTTCCTGAAATTAAAATCAGAACATATGATAAATTTTTTCTTGGACGAATTTAACTCTAATGTCATGCCTATAAATAGTAATTATTTTCCGTTTTCAATATCATCTAGCAAAACAGAGTTCTTTCCTCTCCTTTCAACTACAAAAGCTTTTCCCTTCCTCCGGTGATAGAAAAGAGCAATACCGCCATTTGTTCACTATGGTTTTCGGGTGTGAATATTCAGAGAGAACATGATAATCTCGAGGGATGATTGCCTGATTACACACATCAATACAAATTTATTTATAAGGCAATAGTTAACACCATGACACAATTATTCAGTTATTTATTTATTTGTTTTTATAATTATCCAATTAGTATTAACAATTTCATTTTGCATTTTCTACTTTACCAACGTTAAAGTCAACCATTTGATAATGAACACTCGCACACTTCTGCATCTACAATGCTTGAACTCGAAACTTCAATTGATAACAACAATCCCTTTAATTATAGAAGTCGCTAGATTCATGTTCAATTAAAATTTTTAAATGAAGGGTCTATATATTTTTTAAAATGAAAGTCAAAGGGTTGGTGATTCCATCAATTCCAAACACTAGGGGTTTATTCGGTTCAATTGGGGTTTTCAGTAAAATAAGAACTGAACCACATTTTGCGAGTTTTTAAAAATTGAAACTGAAACCGAAATCGAATGACATAAAAACCGTAGTTTTTGATTCGATTTGGTTCCATTCAGTTCGATTTTGCGGTTTTTGAATGGTCAATATTTTTCAAATTCAATGTCTCAAGAAAGCAAATTTAAAACTGCTGAGTGCAAATATGCGAATTTAAATTTGTCTTATAATAAATTCAAAATAGATTTGTTTTGTATTTTTTAATTCAATTTATTTTGAAACAAATGATTTTCATGTGAAAAAATTGAAATCGAGCTGAATTACATAATTATATTTTTAAATTGAACCGAAAACCAACGTAAAATAAAAACTTAAATCAAATTGAATCGCATAACACAGTTTGCATCAATTTTTCAATTTTGTTACTCAACCCTACCAAACACTTCATCCCCATTATAGTACCAGTTTTTTTTGGAGGAAGATGGAATATTGCCCTTCCAAAAGTCAAATGCTAGCTATGGAGATTGCGAGACCCAAACAATGAAATCTTGATCTGATATATCATACTAAACATGGGAATGAAAGGAGACAAAACATGGGCGGATGAGCTCAAAATTTTAGAAAATTTATGATGTATGGGTGTTGTACCTGTTTGATTGTGGATCTAGGAAGGAAGAAAAAAAAACCTACAAATGTAAGTGAATGTCTTCAAAAAATGGCGTGGTAGTTGATGTAGGTGAAGAAGGGTGGGTTGGAAATTGATTAAGTAATAAAAAGGTGATGGGTTATGAAAGAAATTGGTTAATGTGATAGTATCTTATAAGACTAAGAATGAACCAATGCTATAGATGAGCAAAGACCCGATTCTTATAAGTCGTTATAAGGGATGATAGCAAGGACATGGACCCACTAGATAGAAATCTAGGAACCACAAGTATCAAATGAAAGAAAAGGTTGACGCCACAAGTATGGGATACTTGATAAGTCGATTAAAGTCGCAAGGACTTGAGGAAGGAGAGTAATCTCACTTGAATTAATAATCAAAGTTTTTTCTTTACAAAGCAAATGACTTAGCCTATTTATAATACATGAAAGGGCATTGCCGATTGGTAACAAGGTGATTCGGCCAACCTTGTGTCTTTTAAAAAAAACATAATTATTGAAAATAAATGTGAATGCATATGTGATGTTTCGGGCAAAAGGTAGAGACATGAACATTGGACGAATAATGCATGGACCCTTTCATCTTGGCACCAAAAGGAAAAAAACATGTGCCTTGGCCGAATGGTGAGGTCTCTTGATGTTTGGCGCGCCTAGAGAGAGTCCACATGCATAGCACATGGTTGCTGGTCATGAGGCGCTCACATGGGGCATAGGATACTTGTGGTGTGGTCTCGTCCATGGAATGGAGATGAGCAGCAACTAGGCGTGACTTAGCTCCATTCAAGCTTGTAGTGAGCTAGCTAAGCAAGTAGGGTTGGTTGAGATTGAGCCTTCTAGCTGTGACATTCTAAGCTCCTTAGCATTTTCTTTAGCAACTTTTAGCTACACTTGACATCACTTCTAGCAATTTGGCTTCAAATGGTTCTTCCAGCTAGGTCTAGTTACATGTTAGCTCCTCTAGCTGAGTTGAGCTTTCCATGAGTCTTCATGAGTTGCTTGAATCCTTTTGAGCTAATTGAAAGCTACATGTTGAGGCCAAATAGTCGACCAAGCTACCATAATGTATGTCACCCATTGATGTACCTACATGAATAAGGAAACTAAGGTAAATCAAGAGAAATGAGCTAGAATGAATGCAAATGCATGTTGTCGTGTGAATGAATGCTTGTGAGCTATAGAATGATATCATGAGCTAAGTATAAGATGGTATGATATTAGTGACCTAATATATATAACCTGTGAGTTGAATTAAATTGTAATGAGCTAGGAAATGAAGGATTAACATGCTGCCATAATATGAATGCAATGAAATCAATCTAAGTGAATTCAAAACTAATGCAAATCAATAACAAACTAAATAAATACGTGAATTAATATCATGTAGCAAGTAATATAAAGATGTGAACAAAGGAGCATAAAGTTTAAGAAGACTCCCTTGGTGGTTAACCATAAGCAAATGATGAATATGAATGATGAAAATGAGCTTGCATCATCCCCTTATTCTTTAGGGAGATTTGTCCTCAAATCAAAGCCTTTGAATTTTCTAACGTTGTCTTTCTCCATGCTTCTTGTCTTTAAGGCCGAATGTTCTTTGATTGTTTGTCTTTGCTCAATCATTTCTTTTGGCCAAGAGTTGTGTCCTTTGATGAATGATTGGACGCTTCCAATAGGCACCTTTTCATAAAGACTTCCATGGTCCTTTCTTTGGAATATGAATTACCAAAAAGTACCTTTTAGAAAAAAATCTTCTTCTAAGGATAACCTTGTTGGAAGTGATCGTTCATTTGGTTCCACCTGATAAATGAAAAGATGTGATGCTTAAGTTAAAGGGTTACATACCTTCTGAAGACATAAATTATGTTCCTTCGTGGATAGTTGTGTCCTTAGGCTCAAAACGTCACAATTCTTTGTTGAAACCTCAATCTCTTCATTTTCCAGTAATAAATCATCACATATCTTCATGAAAAAAATCCGAATTCAGGGTTGTTCATTTTCAGTCTTTACTGGTGGCTTATTCTTCCTTATGTCTTCCACACTCTTTTTCATATAAATCTGGTCTTGTTGCACCTCTTTAGGCATCATAGGCACCAAAGTGACCTTACGTCATTCATGCTTAAATGATTTCTGATTGGTGTAGCAATCATGAATGGCTTTTTTAACATACTGACATGGCCTCCCGAGTAAAATTTGAGTAGCATGCATAGGAACTACGCCACAAAGTACCTCATCCTTATATCTGCCAATAGAAAATAGAACTAGCACTTGCTTTATGACATTCAACTCACCTCCTTCATTGAGCCACTAGAGTTTGTATGGAGTTGGATGTTTCAACTTTGGTAAGCCTAGCTTATCTACCATAATAGTGATGGCTACATTCGTTCAACTTCCTCCGTCAATAATCATGATATATACTTTATCTTTGACATGTCATCTTGTGTGAAAGATATTGTCTCTTTGTAGTTCCTCTTGAATTGGCTGTGATTGAAGGCACTTCTTCGTGATAAGAATCTTTCCACCAACAACAACTTT